GAAACTGCTAAGAAATCAGTAGTAATATTTAGAAGGATATGCTGATAGCTTGATGGTTTATTAACTGTCACCAGAGATATTAAAGAAACAGCAAGTGAAATCGGGAAGCACGGTGTTTTTTCCATATGGTCATCTGAGGCACCCCTGCACGCTTACCCTACTACTTCTTATTTTGAGATGCTTACCCTAGTGCTTACTATTTTGGCTGAGGGTGAAAGAACAGATGTTTTATTTTGTTAAAATGTTCTAATGTTCATCAGTCATAGACATAGCTGTCACAAAAGAAAGTTAAAACAATTTTTGAAACCAAACAAAATTCTGCCTTTGTTTGATGGAGTGACAGAAAGCTGCAAGATGGATTATTTACATAAACCAAAAGACTCTAGTTTGGTGACTAAGCCATGTGTTAAAACTTCAACTGAAATGCTTGCTCTTCAGTGAGCAGGGAAGGTTATGAAACATCTAGACAATGATCTTCCCTTTAAATTAGTATTAACTTCTTTTAGAGAAGAAGAATCACAAATAATAGAAATAGAGACATTTTAAATTATAGAACTTTTGGTCTGTAGTTTGCATTAAATGCTTGCTTACATCTTCTTAAAATTGGTACAATTAGGGCGGGGGAGTGTGTGCTTCTGGGAGTTGAACTCAGTGAGTGTGTGCTTCTGGGAGTTGAACCCAGGGCTGCATTCCCAATCATTTTGAGTCGAGTCTCTTAATAAATGGCCCAAGTTGGGCTTGTACTTCTGATACTCCTGTCTCATGCTCCTAACGTGGTGATGGAATTACAGGCATGTACCACTGTGTCTGGTTGGAAAATTTTATGTCTCAGGAAAAATGGTAAACGACAGATTGAGGAGCTGCCATCCTGACTCCCAGAGGGACGGAAAATAGTGAAAAGCCAAAATAATCAGATTATTTATTTATGGTACTGGCACCTGAACCTATGGCCCTTTGCACTGAGCTGTGTCCCTAACCCTCCTTACCCCCACCCCATTTTTGTTTTTTTGGTTTTTTTTAGATGAGGTTTGAATTTGTAGTTCTGCAGCCTCAACCTTCCAGAGCACTGGGATTACAAAGTATCTGCCACCATACTCAGCAGATTTATTTGTTTGTGAGGGTGTGGGTTTTTTTTTTTTTTTTACAGTTACCACATTATTTCCTTCCCATGCTTCTCATTTTTTAAAAAATATTTTTGATGTATGTTGTTTAAAAAGGAAGACTCTAAGAAGCATTGAAAACTTGTAAAGTTGTTATTTGTAAGGTGTTTATTCTCATTAAGTTGTGAACTTCACCACCTGTGTGCAGAGCGTCTAAAGGGCAGCACTTTGTGGTACAGAGAGCTCCAGGCTCGGCGTCGTAGCTGCTGACTCGTGTCATTTCACTTTGGGACCCTGCTGGTCTCACCTGTGAAGCTCGAGTGCTGACCCCGCACCTGCCATACACGCACGCGTTCTTCAGACTGCCGGTAGCAGCATAGTGAGCTTGGGCAACCCTGCCTCGCGGATCTCCTGCCCACACCTCACGGTTCGCTGTTGTGGCTCCTGTTCTTCCCCATCTCCTGCCTTCCCTGCTTGCCTCCCTCCCTTGCTTTTTTCCTTCCTTCCTTCTTTCCGTCCATCCCAGGACTAGGGGTTGAACCCAAGGCCTTGCATAGAGCTTCATCCCCAGCCATTTTTACTTTGAAACAAGGTCTTGCTGCGTTTCCCAGGCTAGCTCCAAGTTCACCCTCTTCCCTGCCCTCCTAGGGGCTGAAGTGATATTTGTGTACTACCAAGGAGGTTACGGGCATGATAATCCTGCCTTACAAATACATCAGTGTGCGTTCCTGAAGATAAAAGAGAGCCTCTTTGTTTTGTTTTGTTTGTTTTGCTTTTTCAGACAGGCTCTCCCCCTGTGGTTCAGGCTGGCCTTGAGCTCAGTTTGCAGCCCGTTTATAGTCTCGAGCTCAGTTTATGGTCTCGAACTCATAAGGGTCCTCCTGCTTCAGTCTCCCAAGTGCTGGGATGGATTGTAGGTTGAACTACCATGCCTAGCAAACCAACCTTTCAAATAACCACAATGCCAAAGACAGGACATTAATGCTGATAGGATGCTATCATTCAGCCAGCTTTATTCAGAGGTGAACAGTTGACTCACTGATGACCTTCAGGAGAGGGGGAGTGTAGATTAGTTGATTGATTGATTTGAAACTCTATTATCCAGTTGACCAAGATCTTTAGATGACTGCACATTACATTACATGTACTTGTCACGATTCTTTAATTTCAGAGTGGTTCACGTTTTTACTCCCTTACTTTTTGAAGAGTACAGGTCCTTTGTTTTGTTAGAAAGTCCCTGAGTCCCACATGTTTTGGATGATTAACTTTCATTGTTTAAATTACCAGAGTTAAGGTGTTTGAAGTAGTATAAATGTGCTTGTAAAGGTTACTTAGTTTGTAAGGAAGGAAAGATTTTTCCATTTTTATGACTGAATCTGTGAGTTAGTCTTGAAGAACTTCATCACGGCCTCACATGAGTAGTAGCCACTGCTGTCTGGGGTTGTGAGCTGGCAGAGCAAAATCAAAGCACATCCGGACAAGGAGGCCATTTCTGGTGGGTGTCGATAGGAATTGAGAAAGCAGTAAATAAAGTTGCTTAATTTCTTGCAGTTTTGAATTTGATGTCGAATGTTTAATGCATCAAGGATAAGATTAAGCCTAGTTTTGTTTAAAGGTAAGCAGTGGTACAGTGATAACTAAAGATGATTTGGGGGTAGGATGAATAATTAGGATACTATTAGGAAATTTGGGGGCTGGGGGTTTAGCTCAGCAGCATAAGCACCTGCCTTGCAAGCAGGCGGTCGTGAGTTCGATCCCCGGTACCGATAAAAATGAAAAAGACAAAAAAAAAAGGAAATTTGTGGGAGAAAGAGATTTGGGGCCAGGAATGTAGTTCAGTGGTACAAGCACCTGCCAGGCATGCACAAAGGTTAGGAGTTCAATTCTTGTCCCCCCACTCCAAGGAAACAATAAGGTTTGAAGTAATGACTTGAAAATTAGGTTGAAGGTTTGACAATAAGCTCTCATAGGATGCTGTAGACTTTTATGACATGGTTAAAATGACCTCTGAAAGGAAAGGTGTGAGGTGTGTAGAAACAGCTTACAGTGATGATCTCTGAGTAGCCCCACCCCACAAAAAGAGCAAGCAGGGTAGAGAAAGCCAGGGGCAGAGGAAGACGTTCCACCTAAAGTAGTATTTCCAGTTAAAGTAGTAGTATTTGGAGCTCGACGAGATGATTTGTGCCTATAATCCCAGTACTTGGGAAGCTACACAGTGAGTTCAGGGCCATCCTGACGAGTATAACAAGACTCCATCTTACACCCCGCCCCCCCAAATACTAGTAGTGGGAAAGTCATGCTAATTGCATTCTTACAGAATCAAATGGACTGGAGGCCCCCTATTGTTACGGTATGTTTCCGGAGCTGCATGAAACAGTAATGGAGACTGGAGGGGCGACTGAGTGACGAGAGTAAGGCTGTGTCGAAGCCCTGACCTCTGTCGTGCTGTGAATATCAAACTGAAATAGTCACGGTGGACTGAAACATGAGAGTTTGTGTTGGTGGTTTTAGTGCATAGGATGAATTGTTACATTATATCCTTTGGGGCGGGGATATAGCTCAGCAGCACAGAGCCTGCCTGGCAAGCAGGAGGCCATGAGTTCAATTCCAAGAACCAAAAAAATAAAATAAGATACTCTGGAATGAAACCTTGGCTACATCCATGTTTCTGTGTCTGATTGTCACTCAGTAAGTGTTTATCTACTCCCTCTGGAGTATTGTAGGCACTAGGGATCTAACATGTAGGTGAGTGTCATTTGACGGCGTGTATGTTGGAGAAGGGGCTGTAGATTCACATAGATGTACAGTGGGCTGTAAAAGGGGACGTTCAGTGAAGAGAAAAATGGAGGGAGGGCAGCAGGGACAGAGAGCAGAAGAGAGAGTGCTCTAGTCCAGTGCCCACTCAGGTGGAACTCGGGGCTGCTCCCGTCTCTGCGGTCCCTCCTGACCTTGGGTGTCTCTGGCTGGCTTTGCACTGACAGTGTGTCCTTGGGGTCATCTCTGCTCTGTGCCTGGACTGACTGCATAGCAGGAGTCTGTGTAGAGTTGGTGTACACAAGAAAGCGGATAGTCCGTTTCGTTTTTCCAAACTATTAAATCTGTATTTTACAGTTGCCTTTACATTTTTCTTTTTTAAAAGGACACTGTCAAGTATTTTTTTAATGTTACAATAAAAACAATTTCTTGCTTATATTTTTGTTTCTATTGACTGCCCTTTAATTTCCTCTTGTAGAACAGTTATAATTGAGAGGGATTTTGTTCATTTATAGCAAATGGTTAAGGTACTAGGAATGATTGCTGTTTATATCTACTATTTCTTATCTGTAAAATAGCATTTTATGGAGAGTATTTTTAATAAAAAATTTTTTAAGTTGTATCTGTTGTCTAATACTGTGGGGCTTTTTTTAAAAGCTTCAAAAATTACTGTTAATTGTAAATGATTTATTTTTAGAAGTACATACAACTTTTTAATATACTTTCCCAAAACACATTTAGTACTCAGTGTATTAATGTTATGGCACTATGAGTGAATTTCAATCAACAAAAGTTTCAGTGGCTTAAAATCAAGTTAGCCTGCCTACTTACTACTTGCTTGTTAATGTAACTGAAAGTCTTTAAAGCTTCTCAGATCTTGGTATTGGTATGAATGCATGTGACATTAGCTCTTACAATTAAACCTGCTAAGATCAAATACAGGGTTATTTTCTAATGTGATCTAGTCTCTCTTTTTCATACATCGTCTACATTAAGTATATGTGTGAGATTTTTCCCTTCTCAAGTTTAATTTCCTGTCTTAGGAATTGGGGGGTATGTCATTATTGACTGAGTTTATAATTCGAGTAACTTTTATTTGAGAAACAACCTTGTCAGAACATCGCTGACCACACTGCTTTATTGTAGGAGGACTGACCAATGGTAGTGGTCGCTATATCTCTGCAGCACCGGGAGCAGAAGCGAAGTACCGAAGTGCTTCAGGCACTTCCAGTCTGTTTAGCTCCAGCAGCCAGCTCTTTCCTCCTTCCCGGCTTCGGTACAATAGGTCCGATATTATGCCTTCCGGCCGCAGTAGGTTATTGGAAGATTTCAGAAACAACCGCTTCCCAAACCTTCAGCTTAGAGACTTGCTTGGACACATAGTCGAGTTTTCCCAAGACCAGCATGGCTCTAGGTAGGTGACTGTGACTTGTGGTGATGTCCGCTAACATGTCTGCTTTGAAACTAACTTGTGAGAGAGTAAAAGTCTCAATTTCTTTTGTGTGGGCTCAGCTTATTTGCCTTATTTATTGCTGGAAACATTTAAAAAAGCCAGTATATATTACATACTTTTTCTTTTATAGTAGGATAAATTATAAAAGTATAGGTTAAATTAGAACATACCGGTGTTGCTTGATAGGTTAATGTTTAATGTGACTTGGTTTAAACTGAAATATTCCGTACTTGTTATTTGTTATATTGTTACATTAAAAATATTCGGTAGAATGCTTGAGAACTATGCGTGGATTAGCATTTTTATTACATTTCTCTCTTTTTGTAGTTTTTAGATTATATAATTGTGTACAATTTTACCTCCTTATTACTTAAAGTTCTTAAAGGTTGCTAATGAACTTTATATCACTGCCAAGGCTAATTTAGTTAACAATTTGTGTTGACGAACTTTGTTTCTAAGGGTTTCTTTATGTTTTAAAAATAGATATTTAAAGCTGGGCGTGGTGATGCACGCATGTAAACCCAGCAATCGGAAGGCTGAGGCAGGAGGATTGTTGTGAGTTCAAGACCAGCCTGGGCTACAAAGAGAGCTCAAGATGAGCCTGAACTACAGAGTGAGACCCTGTCTCAAAAAAAAAGAAAGAAATATTTAGTACTATTCATAATTTGAAAAAGAATAATCAACAAAATCTCTGTAGTTTAGGGGCTGGGGATTTAGCTCAGTGGTATAAGCACCTGCCTTGCAAGCAGGCAGTTGTGAGTTTGATCCCTGGTACCGATAAAAAAAAAAATCTCTGCAGTTTCCTTTTCATTAATTAGAGCTAACCCAAGAAAGATATAAAACAGTTTTATGTGTAAGTGTTTTTGTTCATTGAATCACTAGTTATTTTAAGGTTTTATAAAGAAATGCTTTATAACTTTTGTCTTTTTATTGTAAGCCAGCTGTCCACCTAATAAAGTGTGTTCATATTCCGGAAGTGACTGTGTGTGTGTGTGTGTGTGTGTGTGTCAGAGAGAGTATAATGGTCAACTAAGAAGTACAGAGCTTTCAGCGGCTGTTACGGGGTTTACATTTTTCTCTCATAGATTCATACAGCAGAAACTAGAAAGAGCTACTCCAGCTGAGCGACAGATGGTATTTAATGAAATTTTACAGGCAGCCTATCAACTAATGACAGATGTTTTTGGCAACTACGTCATACAGAAATTTTTTGAGGTAAGTGTATATGTGTATTTGTATAATTTAAATGGCTGATAGGCATGAAAAGATACTCAGCATTCTACATGTACGGGGCAAATACAAATCAAAACCACACTGAGATGCTGTAGTAGCTGGATTTAATAGATTTCTCTCAATTTTGTCAAATTACAGATTGAGAATTATCTGGTAAGAGAGTTTAGTGGTCTGATGAATGGCCAAAGCTCGTGTATTAAGGATGAAGGATTATTTTTACTAGAATGAAGATACTAAAAGAATGGTAAAGGTGGGATAACAAAAAAAATTTTTTTTATATTTGGAATTGAACTCAGGACCTCATGCTTGCCAGGCAGGCACTTGTGCCTCTGAGCTATATCCTCCCCAGAAAATTTTAAATAATATGATTTAAGACCCCCAAAAAAGTAAATAATTGTCATTGCAAGTATCTCTGAATCTTATCTTTTACCTTCATGTCTCCTATTAATTATTAAGCATGGGACTGGGGATTTAGCTCAGCGGCGTAAGCGCCTGCCTTGCAAGTGCGTGGTCGTGAGTTTGATCCCCGGTACCAATAAAAAAAAAATTAGTAAGCATGATATTTGAAAAACAAAAAACAAATTTATTAAACTACAAAGAGTGTCTTTAACAAAACAATATAATGTTATGGTCACTTTCTGTTACTTTCTGTTCCTTCAGTTTGGGAATTTGGATCAAAAATTAGCCCTGGCTACTCGGATTCGTGGTCATGTTCTGCCCTTAGCTCTGCAGATGTATGGCTGTCGAGTTATTCAGAAAGCATTGGAGTCCATTTCTTCTGACCAGCAGGTAATTGTAAGTTAAGAAAAAATTTTGTAATACTTTACCCTAAAAGTTACAAAGTTGATCTTTGATCTGTCTTTCCATTCCCTTTTACATCGTTCAGTCTTTCATCAAAGGTATATTAGTGCCCACTATATGGTAAACAGAGGGCCAAATAACATGTTTCTGCTGTCACTTGCTTAGTTGATTCTCTGCAGGGGCAAAATGGATTTTACTATTTCCAGTGGTAGTTTTCTTAAAGGTAAAGCTGCACAGAAAAGTATACTAATCCTTTTAACAAGATATATGATTCTTTGAGAGAAAGAACAAATGTCAGCTAAGAAATATACTACATTCTTGGATGAAAAATTTAAATACCTTAAATTTAAAAAGTAGTGCAGTGCCAGTCCTGTGCTGATGGGACTTTTTTTGTAATTTATTAAAATACTTTTAATGTGACATTAGTTATATTTTAATGCATATGATTAATGAAAACAAAGTTTTGCATAAAAGGTATTGGTATTACATTTAACAAAAACCTTTTTTGACTCATATAGTAAAATTCCAGAGCTGTGAACAGTAGTATGTAGTTCATTGGATGGAGTGTGTATGTATGCATGTGTACACACGTTAACCACATCACTAAATATCTGTAATCAATCCTTAATGATTTTTGTGGGATAATTCTCGAATTCTAGTGTAAATGGAGATAGGTTTCAACACATTTGGTGATGGAAAAGCTTAGAACTTCTCTCCCACAAGTCTCAAACTGGTGTAGGTATTTTAAAGATATTTTAAATGTCTAGTCTGTTACATTTGAAAATATACAGCATTGGGAGTCAGTCTTGATTCTTCAGTTCATCGTGTTGTGTAACTGAGTCCACCTCAGTTAAGCCTAAGCATCTGTGTTGTAGGTTGACTTAACAGGGTTCCTCCACAGTTAGGTGGGAAGGTGCGTGAGAGTTCTTTGGGTGTGAGAGTTTTTGTTTGGCTTTGCTGTTTCCAATTTTGTTGGGTGAGAGGCATGTTGAACGTGACTGTGTTTAGGCTGAGTAGTGCCCCAGTCCTCCACAGTGGTGTCCTGTTGCTCCAGTAAGGTTCACAGGTTATTCTGTCAGTGATGCAGAAAATCCAGCTGGGCCTTCTAGAGGCAGGAGGATCATGACAAGTTTGAGGCCAGCCGGGACTACAAGACATACATGGTGACAGTAGTAGCTAAAGTATGAAAACTCAACATTACGAGGTTGTATTTCAGCATGAGTGAATAATAGAGTCACGAAGTACTCTTCTAGGTGTCTGCTAATTATAGTTCAGAGAAAAGTTTTCAAAAGCTTTTTAAGAAAAATTACAGGAAATATTAGTCTTGTAAATTTTACTCTATTATTTCATAAGGAGATTATATGGCATTTTCTTTGCAGAGTGAAATGGTAAAGGAACTCGATGGTCATGTACTCAAATGTGTAAAAGATCAGAATGGAAACCACGTTGTACAGAAGTGCATTGAATGTGTCCAGCCGCAGTCACTACAGTTCATCATTGATGCTTTCAAAGGACAAGTAAGATCGCCTTTGGGCTTCTGATTCGTTAACGGCGCATTATGTTAGAATTGCAGTACTAACACATTCTTCTTAAGGCACAAGATAATACCCAGAGCCTGCATATTTTAATACCTAGCACCTGCACATAGAAATGAGACAGGAATTAGGAATCAGATGGCTTTACTTCTTTTCACACTGAGAAAGAGAAACAGGAATTTAATCATATTGTTTAAGAAGACAATCGTTTCCAAATTTCCTGAGGGAAGAGAAGGAAGTAAAATGACTTAAAACTGTTATTAAAAATACAAACTATATAGCAATTAGTAGCTAATACACAGTAATTAATGTTTCTTAATAAAAGTGCTAAACTATCCTTCCCCATCCATTCATTTCTTTTTTATATACCCTTAATCTTATGGCTAGGTTCCTTTGGATCAAAATATGTGTAGCTCCTGTGCTGAAAACTCACTTCACACACGCACGTGCGCACACACACACACACACACACACACACACACACCCATCTTCGCTACCATGGTAGTACTGGTATTAATGTGAATCCACCATCCTCCTATTTTCAACGAACTTCAACCTGTCGTCACAAACCCATTGGCCATGCCGGGTGTAGCATAGGCCTGTAATCCCAGCACTTGGGAGGCAGAGGCATGAGGATCGCTGTGAGTTCCAGGCCAGCCTGAACTTTCACAGTGAGCCCCTGTCTCAAAAATGTATATAACATAATAATAAATTTTTAAAAATCTGTTGGCCCCTTGAAACAGGTCAGAAATAACATAAAATGAAAATTTTAATTTTTCTGTTCATTTTAAGGTGTTTGTGCTTTCAACCCACCCTTACGGTTGCAGAGTGATCCAGCGTATCCTAGAGCATTGCACTGCAGAACAGACCTTACCTATCTTAGAAGAACTTCACCAACATACAGAGCAGTTAGTGCAGGTATGCTTCCCTTTATAATTTGAAATGTTCGTATAATTTTGGGAAATTGTTTTAATTTTTAAAAGAAATGTCCTGTTAAACTGACAAAAAAGTTTATATTCAGTACAACTACTGGATCTTTAGACAAATGTTCAATACCTTTTTTTTTTTTTTTTGTCTTTTTTCATTTTTATCGGTACCGGGGATCGAACTCATGACCACCTGCTTGCAAGGCAGGTGCTTATGCCGCTGAGCTAAATCCCCAGCCCCTCAATACCTTTTTAAAGCATAATCAATATTCTTCAGGAATGACTGATGGAAAATATCTGTTTGTAGGATCAGTATGGCAATTATGTTATTCAGCATGTTCTGGAACATGGGAGACCTGAAGACAAAAGCAAAATTGTTTCCGAAATCAGAGGCAAGGTCTTAGCCCTGAGTCAACACAAATTTGCCAGGTATTGCAGTATTTTTTGATTCTGGTAGTCGGTTCTCAATGCCCTCTATGAAAGCACAAAATACGTTGTATATAGCATGAAGATGTAATGTTTTTAGTGACATTAATAAGCACATACAGCAGGCGTGGTGGTGAGCACCTCTCATTCCAGCTGCTCAAGAAGCCAGAATGTGGGACCCATGAGATGGCTTGATTCAGTGAGTGAAGACAGCAAGATCCAGTCTTCCCCGCATACACACACGCGCGAGCCCACCTCTTTACAAAATGAAAGCAGTCAACAAAAATTGTTTTTACCTATGTTCATTGCATTTTCAAATAAGTGTTTAGAAAATACTGGTTCCCAAAAATGAAGAAATATGGATATATCTGGTGCCTGTTTTCCTTTTTGAATTAAAATTTTGATAAGATGATAGTCAAAATATGGTTGTCCTATATATAATTCTTGTTTCAAAAGAAATTGTAAACCAAGAAACTCCCTCTTTAACTGCAGTTTTCTAATTGAAGCAAGTTCTTGAAAAGTAAATTTTGTTATGGAGAAATAACAAAAATTATTAAATGTACTTTAATGTTTTAGCAATGTAGTGGAAAAGTGTGTGACTCATGCCTCCCGTGCGGAGAGAGCGTTACTGATAGACGAGGTTTGCTGCCAGAATGACGGTCCTCACAGTGCCTTATACACCATGATGAAGGATCAGTACGCCAATTACGTAGTTCAGAAGATGATTGATATGGCCGAGCCTGCTCAGAGAAAGATAATCATGCATAAGGTACGAGCGCGCGACGGGTCGTAAGTCTGTCCTGAGGTATTTGTGCTTTGAGCCCATCAGCACACAGTTTTTGCCATATGGTTAACTTCACTAGATACTAACTTCCTCACACTTGTTGTAACTGGATAACAAAACTAAAACCTATGGGTAGCATTTACCCGACATTCTCTTTTTAGTTCTTAAGGTAGTCTGAGTACGTCACATTCCTGTTTCATCTCTTTACTTATGTTTTGTATTTTTCTTTGTTTTCCTCCATTTTCCTCTATTTGTTGTAACTTACGAAGAAAACACTGAATTTTAAATGTAATTTTTCCCTCCCAGCCAAAGTTTTTTTCTGATGTGAGTTTTGTGTTGATTTTTTTTAAAAAGAAGTAACACCTAATATTTTCCATCAGTCTGTTTTCTCCTAGAATCTCATGACTCTTTAAGAAATGACTGTCTTAGCAGAATTTAGGGTTAAGAAGGCTAAGCTAGGCATGGTGATGCAGGCCTGTAATCCCAGCACCTAAGAGAGTGAGGCAGGAGGGTTGCTGTGAGTTCCAGGCTATCCCGAACTGTGTGGGAAGACCTTGTCTCCAAAAAAAGGGGTGCGTGTTTTTGGTTTTGATTTTGTTTTTGGTACCGGGGATTGGACTCATGACCAAGGCTTGCCAGGCAGGCCCTTATGCCGCTGAGCTCCCAGAAATACTATTTTAATACTCACTTTGTATCTTTTTCTAAATTTATTTCTATAATAAACATGAAGCAAAGTGTATAATCTCTTTGGTTTCTCATACAGAGAAGAAATGGAAATGGTCTCTGAAGAATTCTTCTTACCATATGTGTTTTGGCAGGTGTCACTTTGTAGCTAATTCACAGTAATTAATAATGGTTCTTAAGTGCTGATTTAACTATTTTAGATAATTCTTTATAAAAGATTTTACCTGTTTTGATGATAGACTCCTAGATGTGGAGTTACTCAGTCAAAGTTTATATAAACATTTTACCTTTAGTAATAATGCTGATTTGCTCTCAAGGTATCTTGTACAAATTTATGCATCTGCCCATTATGTGAGAAACATTCACCATGACATACTTTACCATAGCTGCAACAGTGCTGCCAGCTATATATGTATATTAGAACCTTGCCCGTATGGAAAGAAATATAAGTATGGAATTTTTAAAAATTCACACCCTTGGGGCTGGGGATTTAGCTCAGCAGCATAAGCACCCACCTTGCAAGCAGGCAGTCGTGAGTTCGATCCTGGTACCCATAAAAAGAAAAAAAAAAAAAGAATCCCACCCTGGTGGTTCTTTTGTGTTTTATCTAGAGCCTCTTGTGATACAGCTATAAAGTAGTGGTTTACTTATTCATTAAACAACTTTGAAAGGAGAAATCTAGAGAGAGATTCAGTGGACCATAACTCCTTTGCAAATAAAGAGCTTTCTTTGGATTTAAAATTTTAAATTGTGATTATTGTCTAAAATAACCAGATTTGAGGGTCATTTTTGATTTTTTTTGTTGTTTTGTGATTATTGTCTAAAATAACCAGATTTGAGGGTCATTTTGATTTTTTTCAGGGTTTCATTATGCAGTTCAGACTGGCCTCAAACTCATTACATAGCCCAGACTGGCCTCGAACTCTCAGTAGTACTCCTGCCTCAGCCTCCAAATACTGGGATTACACCTGTGCATCCCCATGTCCTTTGGCTCTCTGAGAGTACATTTTTAAGAAATTAAAAATTAAGATTAAAAGGGTTGTTGACACAGACCGGACACTGTAGCCAGAAAAAGCCTCAGCCGGAATTGTGGAGCTCCTGTCTCCCCCGCCCCTAGAGATTTACCTATAACCCTATTACCCCCCTCCCACCCTTCGGAATCTGCCCCTGGCGCCAAACGCGTGCCAGTGAAATACCTGTGCATCTCTAATGGCCTTAGGGCACTGCCCTCAGCTTAGGCTACTTATATTCCCCCACGCCACGCGTCTGGTAGCGCGCCAGTCCTCTCTCCCCGTGTTCCCAGAATAAAGGCCTCTTGTTTTATACTCCTCAGCTTTTGGAAATATTTTTCATCTTCTGGAAATAATCCTATCAAAGATAACTTAAGTTTCCTAAGCAGATTGTTTGTTTTTCAGATTCGACCTCACATTACTACTTTGCGCAAGTACACATACGGGAAGCATATACTGGCCAAGTTGGAGAAATACTATTTGAAAAACAGCCCAGATCTGGGGCCTATTGGAGGACCACCAAATGGAATGCTGTAGAGGAGGAGGAGAAGGAAAGGATTTTAACCATGGGAAAAGTTTTTGTGAATTATCAAAACACAACTCAACTATGAATCTTGAGGTTTTTTCTTTTTTTTAAAGCAAAACTATTTATTGACTTTATTCATCCATTTGTAATTTTTTAAGGTTCTTGTGTATATTTAGGGGGTGGGGTGGTGAATTATAAATTATATTCAACCCTTAGTGAAGACCTATCAGATTGGATTGCTGGCAAAGCACAGAATGCCTGTATATGATGTAACTGTATCAAAAAAACAAAGTTGTCACATATTTTGTAAATTTTTACCTTGTAAAGTCACAAAAATAGTTTTTAAAGGAAAGAGTACAGTATTCTTTTAATAAATAAACTGGCGTGCAGTCTGGTAGGTCTACAACCCCATAGCACAACAGGTTTATAGAGATGTATATAGAATTATAGTCCTTATGTTTTTTGTTTGCCTGGAGCCTTTTATAACAGATTAACAATCAGTTGCATAAATATTAATTAATATTTTAAAAAGAGAAAGTTAAGTTGTATTTTGGTAATTCACAAACTATCATGCAAATAAAAGGTCAGCAAGTAACACAAGAATAAAGTAACTTGAGGTCAGAAGAACCTAACATTATTTACAGTGGATGTGGTTTTAACACAGATACTGCCCTATAATGTCTCTGGCAATGTACAGAAGTATTGTATAGGCTTACCTATGTAATTGTTAAGAGTTAGGAAAAATAAAATCATGGCGACAATTCCATCCAGTAAATGCACTAATGAAAAGTTTCTTACTGACTTTTCAGTTTGGTTTGCAATGAGAAAGAGTAAAAATTTGTATTTTGTTTCACTTACAGTTACAAAGACGTGGTGAGGAAGTGTTGGGCTTTATTTTACTTTTTCATAATAGATACAGAAACTAGGAACCAGGTAGAGTTGAAAAGGGGCCACTGCAAATTAAGTCTGATAGCTCAACATTTAAGCATGATTACATATTCAGATAGCTTTTTTTGCTTCCTATAAATATATGCATTGTGTGTGTAGTGATGTAAGTTTACACTTGGAAAGCAATCTTGTTTCAATGTTTATTAGAAAAGCCTTGCTAATTTAGTAGTGATGCTTCCCTTGGTTGTACAGGTGTACATTTGTAAACCTTCATGCTGTAAATGGAATTTGTTTTATCTCTTCGGGAAACATTTGCATTCTAGTGTACATTTATGTCCTTGCCCTCTTTGACCTGGCAATATAGTGTTGTATAATGTAAATTTCTCCAAATCAAGAGTGATTTTTTAAAAAATTTTTTATCTTTATATGGTTTCAGAAGTATGAACCAACTTTCTTTTTATTATTGTGAGAAAAAATTTGTTTTATAACATAGTTGTTGACTCTGTTAATACGGACATGCTAGGATTTGGGTCACTTTCAAGAAGTCAGGGTATTGTGCATAGTAGAAAGTGTTGGACTGAGATCCTTGGTTAGCGTGGAGGCCCGTGCTTTTTCCATCTTAGTAAATGTGATGTGACTTTTTTCTTTGTACAGAAGAGTACTGTATTTTTGAATAGCCTACTCCCAAGTAAGAACAAATCTGTATGATAACTTTTTTTTCTCTGGACATAAGACATTATAACAGTAACATGATGTACATTTACAAGCGGCCTTATGTACATTTCCCAACAATCTTTTTAAGGCAAAATTGTGACCATATGTGTATAATTAAAATCGTTTTTAATCCTTTGCCTATGAAAATATTTTGGAAAAAAACTTGCTTTGTATATTCAGTTTCTGAGAGATAAAGACAGTGCTTTGTATTTTGTTGGAGTCAGTATTTTGTATAAACATTTATGTTGATCCACTTCTGTTTAGTGATGAAAACTGATATGAACGTGCTGTGTCAGCTGACCGCGGAAGGGATTTTTACTAGAGAGGAAAAGCAATCTTCTGAGCACAATATTGACGATGGAGGTTTTATCACTAAGCTGTTCATATCATGAACCTTAATGGCATAAATTTTGGGGTGCCAGGAATACTTTCCCTATTGGACTCTGAGTTACTGTAATGTTTTCTAACCCAACATTCCTTGGTCAAGCCATTAGCTCCACCTGCTTGTCACTGTGCCCTCTCTCTCAGTCACCTGGCTCCTCGGCATGTGCCCGTCACAGTAGCAGTGCTTCTCCGCCCTGGAAAGCTGTGCAGCCTGCTTTGCTTTTCCAGCCCTCCAGTGACGTGGCCTCGTGTTGGACTTTCCTTCCCGGTGTCAGCCACGGCTGCGGAATCGGAGGGGTCCTCTTTGGAGATGGTTGACATCTCTCCAGTGTTGATGCGCTTGTTGCTAGCTGGCCTTTGTCCTTGCCCTCTGGTCACACAGGCAGTTACTGCTGCAGTTTTAGGACACGGTAAGCCCTAGAGAATGTTACGTTGGGAAACCGAGCCCCTCAGGGGTCCTGAGGTTCCCACACTTCCCCACTGCTGACAACCCCAATGTTTTCCGTACTTTAGACATATTCTAGAAATATATCCCCTTTCCTTGTAGAGATTTTAAGGTCTGCCATTTTGGTGCCCACAGTTCCACCTTTTAGTACGTTGGCATGGAATTTTAGTAAAATCTGACCTTTGAGAATAAAGAAATTTAATTGGGTAGAACACTTAGGCTTGACTCTTAAGTGTCTCCTTTTGATATGAAATGTTTCTGGACCAGATTGTCCCTGCTCTTATTGGTTCATATGAAATGTTACCTTCACTTTGTATATTATGTATAAATTAGAAAATGAAAAATGTGTGAATAACATTGTATGAAATAAACCTGGTCTTGTGTTTTCTCTAGATAAAATACCCCTCTGCACCTCAGTGATATTTGAGATTGCCCATTCACGTTTGTTCTCACTTAAGGAAAACAAATATTTTTATTCAGTAAATGGTATTCTGGAACCTTCTCATATTGATACTACCATCTTTTGATTATTCAAAATGTGTCTGAAACTATGATCACAGGATGAGTTGCTTCCTAGGGTAAATAAAGCATATAACCTGCTTAATTGGTGAGCTGATAACATCTTCAGGGGTGTTTTGAAAAGTCACACACTTTGCACATACATGTACATACATGTGTATTCCGTTTTCCACATGAGCTTAAGGCCAGTGTTGGAAGTTGGGCTGAGCTCGGGCTGGCTCCGAGTGTGCTTCCCTGTTCGCAGGCCTTGGGATCCTGTGTTGGCAGGGTCAGTGCCCGCGGTCATGTCCCAAGATAGCACTACTTCATTCCTTGTGCTTAAGAATCAGTAATACATAAAACTCACCTGCAGCCCAATGCTCAGTGAATGTGAGTATCAGTTCCATTTTGTTTTTAAAGACCCTTTTGGTTAGATTGAATCAAAAACGCAGAAGTACAAAAGATGGGATTTTGGCATTCACGTCACCAGCAAGTATAGTCTGGGCTTGGGTGCTTTGTGATTTGTAAAATTGGCCCTCTGGAATTACTCCCGCTTTGTAATGAACAGAGTATCTTAAAGTGCCACGCTCTTCTCTTCGAAGTGGCATTTCAGCCTGAGGAAGACACTGCTCCTCCTGCTACCTGGGCATGGAGGTACCTGGGCCACCTGTTCTCATGGTGCGTCCTTGGGAAGTCTTCCTTTAAAAGGAGAGCCGGGCGCGGTGTGTGCTGCGGGTCCCAGCACAGCGGCAGCAGTGCCAAGTCCTTCCCGCAGCGGTGGAAAGGTGGGTTGTTGCTGACTTAAGATGGTGTCCTGGGGCTCAGGTGCTGCAGACGCAGCTGCAGGAGACCAAGATGGTGCTGAGGGCTGGCGCTCCTGGGAGAGGTCTGGGACTGGGCTTGCCCCTGCACCCCAGCCTAGAGTGCAGGAATTCCTGGCTGTAAAAGCTGCAGCCTGGGTTAGCTGTGGCTCTAAGCTTCCTCGTCTCCATACTCTGCGCTTTTCTCTAGCTGGTTTTATGTTCCAGTCGAGAGAGTGTTTAATACTTGCGGGGAGCCCTTCGCTCAGATTGGGGAGCCACTTCCAGGCAGATGTCTGCTGGGGGGGGGCAGGCCACAGGCCTGACAGGTGAGGACAGATGTGGCACAGTCCACCTGGTGGGCCAAGCTGGAGGCTGGCCCGAAGGGAGCCACTGACCCCTCTGAGCTAGGAACGCACCTGGCCATTGGTACCCGTTGGCCTGAGCCCTTCTCTGTGGACACAGTACCAGGCCTCCCAAGCCGCCTGCCAGCTCAGCTCTTCCCAGTGGGGTCTGGAGAGGTGGAAGAGCCTGTTCCTCGTGGACATGGCCACCGTGACTTGAGGGTACTGGGCAGGGGCGCCTGTGAGGTTGGGCGGGGTGGTCCTCAGTGAGGCAAGGCCTGGGGGCAGACCTGGTCCCCAGACAAGTAGGGTTAGGGTTAGACCAGACAAGTCCCCAGACAAGGCAAGGAGATTTCTACCCTGGCAGCTCCTGGCCAGGGAGGCCGCTCCGCTCCCCTTGATGAAGAGCACGAGGGCCTTAGGACAGACAGCCCAAAAGGGAGGCGGAGGCAAGTCACACGAAGGCTTTAATCTAGGCGCGAATTACCGGGCGTTCAGAGTGCGGCGCCTTGGGCTAAAGGCTAGGGAAGGGTGGGAGCGGTGGACCCGAAGTGGGCAGAGAAGGCCGCAGCAGCAGGAAGCCTACTCTGTGCCACCCGGTTGGTGTACTGCGCCCTGCCGGTCCAGGGCCAGGTTCCCGCTCGGTGCTGGGACACAGCCTCAGAGCTCACATCCCAACGGGGTGCAGGGTCCTGGGGAGCCGCGGAGAGCCGCCTGAGGTCAGCGGGGACGAGCCTGTGGCTCGGTGGGCTGACACTATCAGCACCGCGCTGCAGCAGCATTCGCGTGACCTGAAGCACGCCAGATGCCCACCTTCCCTTTCAATAAGGCTTGTTGTGTTACTGAAAGCTGCTACTGCGTTTCCCCAAGGGGGCGAGGACCGCAGAAAGGTCCCAGAGACCCCGCTGTAAGCGATCAGCCTGAGGGGACCCAAAACCCGCAGTTTGCTGATCGCAGCCTGGTCACACACGGTGGAGGTGGAAGGGCGCTGTGAGCGGGCGGGGGCGGGGACGGGGAGGGTGCCCAGCGCCGAGGCCCCACCGCCGGGGGTCGCCCCAGCTCCGCCTGCGCCGCCTCCCTTCCGCCACCCAAAGGTGCTCTACCGCCACCCCAAGGCTTAGGCCTATAGCGGTATCGCGTGTGGACCCAATCTTGGCCAAGCCCCAACATCTGCCCTGGGACCCCAACCCTGAACCGCTGCGGACCCAGCCCCCTGCTTCCCAAACGCACCCCTTTCCTCCTCCTGTCCTCAACCAATCGCCCGAAAGCCGTGGTGAGACTACCAACTTTTTTAGTGCCAGCGCATCCCGAATACTGCAGGGGATCTGTTAGCAGTAAAGCGATCTGGAATTCAGTTTAACTGCGCGCCTGTGGCTGCCGTGAATCCCCGCGGCCCTGGTGTTTCCCAGGCGGATGCTGACGCCCGCAGGTAGCCTCCGGGGAAGCTCGGTGCGGCTCTCCCTCGCCCCCGACTGATGTGACTGATGAGACAGGCGCCTGGAAACGCTGGAGCAGCAGCCCGCGTTCGTCCCCCGGGTTGACCCAGTCAAAAGCTGTCGGGGTTCGTGTCCGGCTGGGCCGCACTGCCAGGACCTCAAGGGGATGCCAGAAAGCCACCTGCAGCGGGCAGGGGTGGAGCTGGGCCGGGCAGGGGAGGAGCTGGGCCAGGCAGGGGTGGAGCTGGGGTGGAGCTGGGCCGGGCAGGGGAGGAGCTGGGCCGGGCAGGGGAGGAGCTGGGCCGGGCAGGGGTGGAGCTGGAGTGGAGCTGGGCCGGGCAGGGGAGGAGCTGGGCCAGGCAGGGGTGGAGCTGGGCCGGGCAGGGGAGGAGCTGGGCCAGGCAGGGGTGGAGCTGGGCCGGGCAGGGGAGGAGCTGGGCCAGGCAGGGGTGGAGCTGGGCCGGGCAGGGGAGGAGCTGGGCCGGGCAGGGATGGAGCTGGAGTGGAGCTGGGCCGGGCAGGGGAGGAGCTGGGCCAGGCAGGGGTGGAGCTGGGCCGGGCAGGGGAGGAGCTGGGCCAGGCAGGGGTGGAGCTGGGCCGGGCAGGGGAGGAGCTGGGCCAGGCAGGGGTGGAGCTGGGCCGCGCAGGGGAGGAGCTGGGCCGGGCAGGGATGGAGCTGGAGTGGAGCTGGGCCGGGCAGGGGAGGAGCTGGGCCAGGCAGGGGTGGAGCTGGAGTGGAGCTGGGCCAGGCAGGGGTAGAGCTGGGCCGCGCAGGGGAGGAGCTGGGCCAGGGGAGGCGCTGGCTGCACTGTCAGCACTGGAGCAAAGAGGAGCGGAGAAGCCGAAACGGTAGACCAGTAAATTCTAGTGGTTAAAATCCAGACGCCTCCACCCTTCCCACCCCCTGCCCCTCCAGCCTCCATCCCTGCCGGCAGCTGGGTGTGTAACTTCCACATCTTTTTCTCTGTATTTACTAGGCCGCAGTGAAAAGCCTAATAAATTCCACAGAGCTGAAATCATGCAGGACACATTCACTGAGCAGAATGAGAAAGGGAGACCCAAAGCCTGTCTTAGAAACTGATCTATGTCTGTAAAGCCTGTGTTTTAGAAAAAGAAGCACATTACTAGAATAGAGATTAGAAAAGTTTTAAATGCTATTCTTAATAAGTCCTAGATTATGCCAGGGGTTTAGCTCAGTGGTTCAAGGGTTCGCCTGATAAGCACAAGGTCGTGAGTTTGATCCCAGGTACCAAAAAGAAAAAAAAAGTCCTAAATTAAAGAGGTAATGTAATCTGAGGTAAACTATTGTGGACTAATTTCAAAATTAGTGACAGTGAAAGTCTTACGTATCAAAATCTGGGGGATTCAGACTAAAAATTATTCACAGAAAAATGTTTATTTCTGAAGATAAATGAACTCATAAAGTAGGAAAACAACAGTGAAAAAAATTACAAATATTAATAACATTCTCATTAGGAAAGAATAATCTGTTCAGATAGAGATAATAAATGAGATGTGCTTTTAACAAATCGATTTTAGAAAAAAGGAGAAGACACAAACATTAATAAGGAGATGTAAAATTGTGGTTTTAAAAAAAATTAAGAAATTTTTTTTTCCTAAAAATGGGCATAGAGTCTCATGCCTATAATCCCAATACTTGGGAGATTGAGGTAGGAGGATCACTGTTATTTCAAGGCCACCCTGTGCTAAAAAGTAAGTTCAAGCCCAGCCTGAATTGCATGGCAAGACCCTGTCTCAAAAAAACCAAAAAACTAATTTTTTTCCTAGAAATCAAAAGGTAAATGAAAAAATTTTAGGGAAATTATAGTTTCAGAATTGACTCAGGAATTAATTTCTTGATTAGATCAATAGCCATAAAAGAAATTCAGAAGTAGTCAAAAGAACAAACATAAAGATATATTCCTAATTTCAAAACCTATCACCAAGTTACAGTAATGCAAACAGTGTGGTACTACCATAAAACCATGATCCACTAGATGAGAGTTTTGAGCCCAGAAACACATCCTTGAATATTTGGTGAAATGATTTTCAACAGAATGCTAAGAGAACTCGATGATGACACGGACAGGCTTCCTTACTAGTGCTAAACAGTGAATATCTACGTTCAAAACTTGAACCCTTACCATATTAGAAATTAACTCAAAATAGATTCAAGATCTGAGTGTGAGACCTGACACTATAAGACTCTTGAAGAAAACTGGAGGAAAGCTTCCTAAGGTTACTTTTAACAAAGATTCTTGGCCGTGACACAGGACATACCAAAAAAAAAAAAAAAAAAGTGCCAATATAGACACACAGTGTGATGATCAGTTTGTGTGTGCGTGTGTGTGTGCGTGTGTGTGTGTGTGTGTGTCCTTGTCTGTGTCACTGGTGACTGAACCCAGGGCCTCGTACACACTAGGGAAGCACCGTTGGTTAGTCTGGGTGGGTCACCGGGGCGTAACCCCAGTGGCTGGCTCCGACCTAGGGCCTTTCTCTCCTCTGTCTCTGTCTCTGCTTCAGGCCTGCTGGACTTGAGCTCCCTTCCCGCCATCCCCCTCTTCTGAGCTGTTTCCACCTTGGAGCGGATCAAGCAAGGACTGAAGTCTCTGAAGCAGAGCCGGGGGAGCCCTGGTGCGCTATTGCTGGGCTCTAGCTGGAAAACTATGGTAGTTCCACAAAAACTCAGAGTCATGAGAGAGGACCCAGCTATCGTACTTCTGGGACTGCATCCAGGAGACCCGAAAGCAAACTCTTACAGAAATGCTCGCCTAGCCGTGTTCATAGCTGCTGCGTCCACTACGGCTAAGAGCTGAAGCAAGCCGGCTGCCACTGACAGCTAAACACACAAGCAAAATGCCGTTCCTTTGCGATGGGATACCAATCAATCAGTCTTCAGAAAGAAGAAAACTTTGATGTCCTACAACATGGATGAGTGTTGAGAGTGTTACACTAAGTGAAATACGCCAGTTGCAAAAAGTCAAATACTGCATGACTCCACTTTCGAAGTAGCTAAAGTCACACTCACAGAAACAGAGGTGAAGTCATGGCCACCAGGGGCTGGCGAAGCAGGGAGTTGGTGTTTCAGGAGTAAAGTTTCGGCTTCATGAGACAGAAAAGTTCCGGAGGTCTGTTGCATAACAGTGTGGATATACTTAATACCACTTAATTATACCCTTAAAATAGTTAAGATTGGGAGGGAGGAGGAAGAGGCAGTGGGGGCCCTGAGCGCCCCAGCAGGCTGTTGTTTATCGCCGAAAGCTCCCTAAGGTTATCTCCGTGCTCAGGGCAAGCCTTACACCGCCCAGTCTTTAGGGAACATATGATTTCCAGTTTATATAAAATGTTAAAGAGTGCAGAATCCAGGCGTGGTAGCTCATGCCCGTAATCCCAGCACTGGGGAAGCCGAGGCAAGTTCGAGACCAGCCTGCGCTAACAAGTGAGCTCAAGGCAGCCTGAACTGCATAGCGAGACCCTGTCTCAAAAAGACTAGATAAAATAAAGAGTGCAGAAAACATTGAAAACTTCCCAGCTGGCTCCACAGAACTATCATGGCTCTGAAGGCCAAGACTGACACGGGCAATGACCAGGAGGCGTTTTCTCCTACACCCACGGACAGAGAGCTCCTAACTGATAGTGGACCTCGAGTCCAAGACACCTCTTTACCAAGTGGGATTCATTCCAAGAATTCAGAATGATACAGGAATCCAGCATGACTCCATGTTAAAGTTTTTATTAATGTAAGTTATTGCATTAACAGATTGAACCAAAAAACCTATCAAATAGTAAGAAAAGCAACTGATAATTTTCAATACCTACCTCTGATTAAAGTAAGCCAACAATGTTGGGAAAATTTCTGTTCTGAAATATATAAGTCTGTCCCCAGGTGCAGTGGGACACGCCTGTAATCCCAGCATCTGGGAGACTAAAGCAGGGATTGAGCCTCGTTGGGCAATTGAGTGACCTAGTGAGACCTTGTCTCAAAAAAAAGTGAAAGATGAGGAGCTAGGGGTGAGTTCAATGTCAAGATCCTGGGGTTTGCCACCGAGAGAAAGGAGGAGGAAGAGGAGGCAGAGAAAGAGGAGGGGAAGGGGAAAGGGCAGGGAAGGGAAAGAAAGGAACATAAGTAGAGAGAAATGTAGTTAATGCAAGTAGCTAGTGGGTAACACAGACAGGCTGGAAGCAGCTCTCCTAAAGATGGGAGCGAAAGGTCGTGTGGTCCTGCAGCAGCCTGGGTACTGCCGTGCGGGAGACTGCAGATGCTTCTCCAACAGGGCGTTGGAGTGTGAGCCCTGTCAGGAAGGCGTGACAGGGCACCTGCATAGACCCGAGAGGATCGCCTGGGGAGCTGGCAGGTGAATCAGAGGTCTGGGGGCACGAGGTCTGAGACAAGGTCTTGCTCTCTGTGGAGTACAAGGTTGAGGCCTTGAACGCATCTTCAGGCTAACCTTGAATTTGCTGTAATCCTGCCTCAGCCTCCTGACCGCTGAGATTACGCTTGTGCACATCACATCTGGCCCAAAGCTTTAAAAATCTGTGATCGTAATGAATCTACAAAAGTCGTGAAAAACAGCAAACAAGAAATGAGAAAGCGAAGAAACATTTTTATTGAAAGATGGTTAAGAAAATTATTTAATGACAACGTATTTGCAGATAGAAGGATCCACTATTGCTTGAGAACGTAGTGTTAGGTGACATGAGGGACACACAGCTCGGGGCCGTGTGGTCTCCTCTGGACGGGACCCACATCCGTGTGTACAAACGGGGAGCAGAGCACAAGAGACACGATGGGAAACTCCCAAGACTTCCCAAATTACATGTCCTGTTGTTTAAAAAACATTTGCATATATATGCCAGTTTATTTCATTTATACTAATAAATTTTAGTTTATACTAGTAAATCTTAGTTCACTGAAGTGGCAGTCTGAGTACTATCGGTTTATTTTTGTAAGAATCTTTTTGGTTTATGTCTTGTACTAACTACTTCGAAGATAACAATGCACATGCAGTTGGCGCCAACTATTGGCGTTCTCTTATTTTTTGGTTACACAGATTTATTTTTTCATAAAAGGTATTCAGTATTGTAAATTGATGTTTCTCTCTAAACTAGTCCACAAATTCAACTTATCCAAAGGCTCAGACTGTGGCCTTCAGGTACATTTGTCACTGACTAATGCTGAGTCCTGGATAGAAAACATCCGAGCACCGACCCTTTGTTGCAGAATAATGTAATTTACTTTCTGGTCGCTGTGAACTAGGCCACGCCAACAGTGAACAGCGGCCTGCGTGGTGGGAAGGGTCTGCAGAGTGCTGCCGCTGTTACGGGCTGGGGCATCGCAGGGTGGCCGCTGTTACAGGCTGGGGCATCGCAGGCTGGCGCTGGGGTCTGAGGGTGCGTGTGTCTAGCGCTGAGGCTGGGGAGCTTCCGTGGGAGCCGGCGGCTGAGACATGCGGCCTCTCCTTGCAGCCTGGGTTTTCCAAGTCAGAGCTGAGGCCTGGGTTCTAATGGAGGGAGAGAGAAAAAGAAGAGGGGGGAAAAGGAGGGAGGGGCAGGGGGCCCCAAGCAGGAGCTAAATCCCCTTTTGTGCCTCGGCTGCTGTCGCCCCAAGCCTCACCTGAGATAGTCCCTGAGGTTCACCGCGGTGCAGGAGCGCACACCCCACCTGCGGACTGGGAGTGGTCAGCCCAGTGCGGTGGGATGTGATGTCTCAACGGTCTTGGAACATGTGAACTGTTAAACACTACTGCAGTCACACACCGAAGCATCCAAAGGTAGACAAACCTGGTCACTAGTACAGACAATAATCTCTGCAAATGGATTCAAGTGTATCAAATATTTAAATCCATCAAGACACGCTGGGGAATTAATCAAGTGTCTAAGAACTGGTAAAAAAGAAAAAAATCAAATATTTAGTTCAGCCTCTCAGGCAGAACGTACCTCAATGGAACAAAATAGAGGGTGAGCTTCTCTTTATAGAAGTAACCTAGTTGGGGCTGGGGATTTAGCTCAGCAGCATAAGCACCTGTCTTGCAAGCAGGCAGTCATGAGTTCGATCCCCGGTACCGATAAAAAGAAAAAAGACCAAAAAAAAAGTAGTAACCTAGTTAATAAAGTGAAGAATAGGGGCTGGGGAGTTAGCTCAGTGGCTCTGAAGTGCCTGCCTGGTAAGCACAAGGTCGTGAGTTCGATCCCCGGCACCAAAAATAAATAAATAAAGTGAAGAATAGAAACTAATGTAAGTAGCTAGCAGCATCACAGAAACAGAAAGAAGACTTTGTTCTCCTTCTGGGTGAGGGCATGTCATATCCTCCCCCAGTCTTGTTGTGTAGTTCAGGCTGACCTCCAAAGGTCAAGGCCTAGGCTGGCCTTGAAATTGCAATATCCCCTGCCTCAGCCTCCTGAGTGAGTGTCTACCTCACTTTCTAAAGCATTTTTGTAAAGAAACAAAGCCAACAAACCAAAACCACACTGAAACTGATGAAGCAGTAGACTGGACTGCACTGTCGCCCGCTGTGCACCCAGAGCACAAGGCCCTCCAGGGGGCGCCCCTCCTGCCCTGGCCTGTGCACCCTCAGGCACCACCTGGCTCCCGCACTGCCTCCTGTGCTCCCGGGCTGCTCCCTAACCCGAATGGGCCTCCTGCCCTCTGGCCAGTCTCTATCACTGCGCCTCGCCCACTTCCTTGCTGGCTCCACAGCGTGTTTCACACTCTGACCAATTGTGGGTTGAACCTATTTATTTAGTCATCATCTGTCTCCCCAGTCAGAATGTAACTCTCATGAAGGTAACAAGAATGCTTTTGTTCAGTGTCTTAGCATTTTAAAAAATTTTCTTTTGCATTGCTAGGAATTGGACCCATGGCTTCGCACATGCTAGACAAGCTCTGTACCACTCAGCTACCACTCCCCGCACAGTAAATATTTGTTAGGTGAGCAAATGGTCTGTATTGATTTAAAAACAAAAGCGGCCTGTGGCAGCCCTGCCTTGCTATGTAGAGGATGCAGCAGGAAGTGCCTGATCAGGTGCCAGCCCTTCAATCTCGGACTTCCCGGCCCGTGCAACTGTGTGTCAAATAAATGTCTGTCTGTTCTACACGGCCTCCCCTGCGGTGTTCAGTTACAGTGGCCCAAGGTGGACTGAGGCACCCTCGGTACCACTCTGTGAAGAACATACTGGTGCTATGCCCAATTCACTGAAGGGGAAACCGAGGCTCAGTGAGCTTGGATGAGGTGGCAGGGTCAGAGTTCAAATTCAGAGAGTTTACTGGAGTGTCACCAGGGCCCAGATCCCTGAAGCGGTGATGGGGCAGGGATGAATCCTCTGAGACTTTCACTTACCCTTCACCACCAGGATGTGGTCCAGGGGACTCGATTTTCTGATCCAGCTAGAAAACGGAATTCTCCGATGCAATTTCCACATGGAAGTAGAAGCTTCTCCATCTGCGCCTTTGCCTCGGTCCCCCTCTGTCTCTCAGATCAGATGTGGCCTTGCAGGCTGTCCCTTTGCAGCCTCCGTCCCACACTGTCTCCTTCAGGGAGGCCATAGCCACCTGAGGCTGAATCTGCACTCCAGCCCTGGGCTGGCCGGGAGGCACCCCACGCGTGGGTGAGGGTGTGTGCGCCCTCAGGCCCTGGGCCTCACTGCCTGGCTGGCGAGCCTGGAGTCCCGTGAGAGCCCCCAGATGGCCTTCTCTGTTCTCGGTCCCGCTTTGTGCTGGGAGACCGCCAAGTGTTTCCTGTGCCTATGGCACATCGCATTCCGCAGCTTCCAGGACTTGCCGGAGGCCATGGACCCGGAGGACAGCTGGAATGCTCCCAGCCTGCCTCTCTCCCATCCCCACCAGCCGTGCGCACACTGACCCGCCGGGCCCTGAAACCCTCACGCCTGTCTGGCGTAGGTAGCTTGTACCTTCTGATCCAGAGGGGCCAGCACAGCGCAGAGTTTGCAGTAGCTGCAGTCTCCCCGCGAAGTGTGGCTGAGAAGAGGTCACACACGCAGGGTCTGGGTAAAGGGTCTGCAGGTGAGCCGGAGGAACCCGGACAGCTCGGACAGTGGGGCCCTGATGACAGCCACGTGGTACGGCCATGGGCACAGGGCGCATGTGGAGCGTCCCGCCCCAGGAAGTGGCCCTGCCACACCTGGGAAGGAGCAGCTGGTGCGGGCACACCTGCCTTTGACACAGCTTCCTGTCGGCACCTATGACAGCCGCACTTCCTTGGGACAGCCTGGCTGAGTCATGGCCGGGCGAGTCCATACCTGAGTCCAGCACCCAGCACCACCCAGCCCGCTTCAAAAGCCAAGCACTTTCTGACGCTGGCTGGCTGTGCGGACACGTGGAAATGCCCTCACTCAGGGCATCCAGCACCGCACCCCGTCCCCTCCAGGCTGAGCTCCCAATGCCCCTTTGTTCCCTTCTGCCCCCGGCCCACCTGCACGCCACACCGTGGGGGGTCTGTGTCTCTCTCTGCCCGGGTTCTCTGTGTCTCCTCTCCCCATGCGTGCAGAGGCCTTGGGTCTATGTCTCCATCACTACGAGAGGTCCTCTTGGTAACCAGGCCAGTTGGTGGCACTGGAGGCCATGGAGGCGCTCTCCCTATGAGCAGGTGCCCACTAAATTCTGTGCCTGGCCACCTCAGGCCACTGCAGCAGGCCCTGGACACCCGGAGGCCTGTGCTTGTTTCCCTGCCTGCTCCGTGCTGGCTGCTTCTGTGGTGCTTAGTTTGTGACAGGTCTCTCTACATCGCAACGATGCCCAGACTAGGTTCAAATGTTCGATCCTCCTGTCTCAGCTTGCCAAATGCTGGGCTTCTGGCCATGCACCATCACACTGGCCCGGCTGCTGTTGTATTGGGCAGAGGCAGAGGACGATGTGGCGTGCAGTGAGCGGAGAGGGGACCGAGGCACTGATGAGACCTGGGTGTGAGGCTGGCAGGTGTGGGCAGCTGGACTTGCAGGAGCATATGGTCTGGGAGCCCAGGAGGAAGCCCAGGCCGCTGACCTCCTGACTGCAGCCTGGGGGAACTGATCGTGGACTTGTGGCGTCCAAAACTGTAAGAGAATAAATGCGCATTGTTTAAACCCCAGCGGCAGTAGGAGACCAGGAACACCGCCCACACCCTTTCCCAGCCCTGCCCTCCTTGCGGAACCTCCGGAGCCTGGTTCTGTGCACGGAGCCCACAGTCCTCTGCAGCTGCAGGCTGGGGCCCACACATCTTCTAGAATGATTGTTTACAGCTGTTTCTGCCCAGAGACTGTGGGCTCCTGGCAAATGAAAGGGTGTGACCTCCTAGCTGTTCCCAGTTCTGCAGCTCCAGTGTCCAGCCAGGGCCCAGCTCCCACAGGGTGTCAGTGGCTGCATCCAGGTTGGAAGGCTGGGCTCATGCGGGCGGACACCCTGGAGCCCTGGCCCAGGGAGCATCTCTCACGGGAAGGCCATGGCACTGCACTTTCCGGAGCTCCAACACACTTGGCAGTTACCGTTCCCGTAACAAAGGCTTCCGGGGTCTCCCTGGGGCAGTGGGCAATACTGGGTGACGGGGCATTTGCATGTGGGGTCTGCTGGGAGGAAGTGGGTACACTGATTTGGGTGGGTAGATGCTGATGACATTCTACCAAATAGCAGCAGGGACTAGGAGGTGAGGAGAATTACACCTCACAAGTGGACAGGTAGCCCGGGGCCAGGCAGCCTGGAGGATGAGAGCAGAGGGGCAGGACCTCGGCTTGGCCTCTGAGCTGCCCAAGCCAACACCCAGGAGAGCAGCATCTGCAAGCACCAGCCCTGAGCCCCCCAGAAGCGGAGGCTGTGCAGGGCCTTCAGGCTGCCAGGTCTCCTGGTGGCCGGAGGACAGCTCTCCGCATCGTGGGCAGGGGCTGCGCAGCCTGCAGACCCCTGTGAGCAGTCCTGCCTGCTCCGCTTTCTGGAGGCGTTGCCGGTGATGGGAGTCCACTCCAGGGTTCAGCATATTGTCCAGGCCCAGGAAACTGGCCGGGCTGCCTGCTGGGAGCTTCCAGCAGCATCCAAAACGCTTCCTCTCCCCTCCATGCACTCTGGGGATTACCCACTCGGTCATGCATGGAAGACTGAATTTCCCTGTGTGTTTGGATTAGATTTGCCAGCAAGTGACAAAATAATTCAGAATAAGTGTCTTAAAGAGAAGTGTTGCTGGGTGTGGTGGCACGTTCCTGTAAATCCTACTTCTTTGGGAGGCTGAGGCAGGAGAACTGCAAGTTTGAGTCCAGCCTAGACAATTGAAAAATTTGTTGAGGCCCCGTCTCAAAGTAAAAATTAAAAAATGGCCAGATATGTAGCGCAGAGCAAAGACCCCGAGAGTAATCTCTAGTACAGCAAAAATAAGTAAAATAAAAAGAGATGTATTTCCCCCATGATGTACAAGTTTGGGTGTGTGGTCCACTTGCTCCTCTGCTGTGTATGTAGTTCACTTCATGGTTCAGGATGGTTGCTGCAGCTGCAGCCCTCTTATCTGCATTCCAGCCAGGAGGAAAGATATCAGGGAAGGAAAAGAGCAGCACTCCTCCTCTCCAAAGGTGCACATACCACCCTAAGTGGATGGCTGCCCCTGGCTGGAAGAGCTGCTGGGAAAGGCCATATTACTTTGTGCTGACTGTGACCCTGGCCGACATTAAAAGGCTCTCAGAAAGAGAAGCAGACGTGGGCAGGGACTGGAAGGGCCTGCCGGCTCAGCCAGCAGCAGAGGGCTCAGCAAGGCGTTCAGAACGGAACAACGCGCCATCTTAGTCATCTGGGTCACACAGCAAAGCAGAAAAGGCTCAGTGACATCAGGTTCCCGGGAGGGTGCAAGACACGGCGGCCCCACAGCTGCCCTGGAGAGCACATTGTCAGCAGCCTCGAGGAGGCCAGTCTGCTGGAGAAGCTGCTCAGAGCCATCCTGGGAGACTGGCAGACGTCCTGCAATTCTCCTCCAGGGCTCCCCTTCTAGACAAAGTCGCTCACGTGCTGTGCTCAAGAGGCGACAGGTGTATAAACTACTGGAAACAACAGAATATTCGTGGGTAGACTGGCATTTTCATAAAGCAATGGATTGCTGTACAGCAGCAAAGCTGAACGAGCACAGCTCGCCGTGGTAAGGTGAGTGGGTCAACGGCGCGGAGATCTGCCCCGGGAGGCCCGCTGTGCTGTAGGCAGCCTGGGGCTCTGGGCTGCGTCCTGGTAACGCGGCCCTGTACAAGCCGTGACCGTGCTATTATTCAGGCGAGGGGACGGTTATTAGCTGAGGTGGAGAACACCTGAGTTGGGCAACTAACTTCTAACTTAAAAAATCAAATAAAGCATATATATTATTTTAAACACTTAAGAACACAGAATAAACATGTAAATAAACTGCTGCCACCCCAACTTCCACAGAGCTTTAGTAACCATGTATGGGTACATTACACGTTTTAAGGAAATTTTAGCTTTTCATAAATGTGCACGTTCCTGTATAATACCATATATATGTCTAAAAGGAGGTTTTGAAAAACTTCTCGTGCTGAGACTTAGCATCTTGTGTTTTATTTTATTATTTTATTGGTTCTCTTGACACAGGGTCTCACTATGTGAGTTTAAGGACACAGGCTGTCCTTGAACTCACAATGTAGCCCGGGCTGTTCTCGAATCACAGTGCTCCTCCTGCCTCAGCCTCCCGAGTGCTGGGATTTTGAGGGAGCACCACCACGTCCAGCTAGCATCTCCCTTTAACAGCAGCTGCCTGGTGGCCCAGCATGGGAACCTTCTGGTCACTTCACTTGTCTGTGGTGAGGGGCGAGCAGACGTGGCTGTCTTGACATGGGGCCTCTCCTGAGGGCTGCGTGCCTGGGAGCAGAGGCCTTGGTGAAGGGGCCGGTGCACTGGCAGCTGGACATGATGGGGCTGCCGAGGTCCAGCACTGGCGTTTTCCTCTTCCTGGGCTCCTGTCCCAGTCAAGAGCAACACCTCTGTGTCCGTGCCCGCAGGAAGCGAGGATACAGGAGGGCGGGAGACTGACCTTGGCCCCCGGGAACTTTCTCCAGGAAAGCCCAGCCCAGGTTCAGCTGGACAGGAACCAAAAGGGCCCCCACTGAGCCCCTCAACCCCTTTGCTTTGGGCGGTGACAAGGGCAGGGCTCCAGCTGGAGGGGGTACAGGGGCTCAGGCTGCCGGGTCCCAGAAGCCTCTGAGGAAGACGCAGGTGTGCAGAATGCGGGCAGGGAGAGAACACGGGCAGGCAGGTGGCAGGGACCCAAACCCTATCTCATTGCAGGGTGTGTGTGGAAGGCTTTGTGTGCCCCACTGTGGGCCAAAAAGCGGACCCATGGACCTGGGGAGCATTGTTTCAGTTCGGAAGAAACATCAAAATATGAAAACCACGCCATCAAGTCCTCCCTGACCTCATTTCTTCTTAGAGAAGTAGGGAAAGACACCAGCGGACCCATTTTCCTTCATGCTGGGTTGAGAAGATGGAAAAGCTGACTTTGGACGCTTCCAATATTTGGGGTCACCCCGAAGGCTTCTGACAGGCCCTTGGAGCCCACCCGGATTCCCTGAGATCCACAGAGGCCCTGATCCACCGTGCTGATCTATCTTTGAATCCCCCACGAACACTGTCAGGCCCCAAGAACTGGGTAGAACTGGGGAATCTGCCACCTCCCCCAGACTGAACAGGGAAAGTGAGGCCCCAAAGTTTGGAAGCAGGGGCAGTATCAGGGCAGAGCGTTCCAAGGCGGGCCATCACCCCAAGTGCTCCTGGAGGGCTTGGGGCTGAGGTGGCCCAGAAAGTTGCCTCACCAGGGAGCCAGGCCCATGGGTGGCAAAGCCAGCAGCTTGTACTTTTCTCCTTGACCCACGACCCAGGAAGGGTTGGCCCTGGAGAGACCCCAGAGGTCAAGGAGACTTAGGAGGCCTTCTTCTTCTGAGTTTGGCCTCTTCAGTTGCCAGGCCTAGGTGCAAAGGTCACTTGGCAAGGTCTGCTGCCTGGGGTTGTCGGGAGGCCTAGCCGGTCCTTCACCCCGGGGCGCTCGCTCCACACCCGCAGGCCTCAGTGACCTTGCTGGACGCACTGCCTGCGCAGTGCTGATGCAAACCCCGAGGCTGAGCCTCGCAGAAGGCCTTCCAGGCGGGCGTGCTGAGGCTGCTGGGAATGAGGCCGGGATTTGGCTCCTTTGCGCTCAGAGTGTGGCGAGGGCGGCACTGTCCTCCTTTCTGAAATCCGCTCTTCCTGAGGCCTTCGCGGCTTACAGCAAGGCCAGGAGCTGGAGGACACGATGGCTCTGGCGAGCCTGCGCTGGGGCCCCGGAGCAGCGGCGCTGTCGAGTGCAGACGGGGCGTGTGTGGCTCTGTGTGTCCATCAGCCGAAGACCTGATCACCTGGGGGGGGGCCCCGGGTGACCCCACAAAGTGTCCCTCCGAGGTCTGGGAGTCCTGCGCGCCTGGGGACACTCCGGTCCACGCGCAGAGGGCGCTGCAGTCTCGCGCCCACCGAGGCCCGGCGCCGCGCCTCCTCACTAGGCGGGCTTTGGGGAAGGGGCGCCTGGACGCGGGGCGCCGCAGAGGCCGGAGACCTGCACTTGGAAGGGAGGTGGGGACGCGGCCCGCGGAGCCCGAGGGGGCGGGCCTGCCCGGGGCGGGGCGCTGGCCGGGGGCGGGGCCGGGGCGGGCGCTGCCCCGCGGCGGGCGGCTCGGAGGCGGGGTCCAGGGGTGGGGACTGGGCTGGCAGCAGACCTGGCGGAGCCGCCGGTGGGGGGCTAGTTTGTGCCAGGGCTGCGGGCCTGCGGGTTTATTATAGGCGGAGCTCGGTGGGAGCGTGCGGAGCGGAGCGGAGCCAGCAGCGGAGCCGCAGCCGAGCGGGACCCAGCCGGCCGCCCCGCAGGCAGCCCTCGCAGGACCGCAGCGCGCGGAGCCGGCCGAGCCCCGCCGAGCCCCCGTCCGGTAGCATGAGGCGCGCGGCGCTGTGGCTCTGGGTCTGCGCGCTGGCGCTGCGCCTGCAGCCGGCCCTCGCGGTGAGTGCGCGCGGCCCGGCCCGGCCCGGCAGGGGAAGCCGCGTTCCCGGCCCGGCGGCCGCGGCACGTGGAGGGGGAGGGGAACGGGCTCTTCCCGCGCTGCCGACGGGCCCGGGAGCCAGGCTGCCGCCCCCGCTGGGTCCCGCCGCTCGTCGCCGGGAGCCTGGGCTCCCCCACGGGAAACGTCTGCACATGGCTCGGACCCGCCGGCCCGCGGGGCGCCCGGGGTGCGCGCTGATGTCCCGCTCGCCCTGGGTATCCCGGCGGCCGGGCCTCCCGAGTGACCCGGAGGGACGCGGGGACCCAGGCCACGACCTCTCTGCAGATCCCAGTTCCGACCTGGCCGCCGCGCGCGCCGCAGAGCCGCCTGACCCGGGCCCGCCTTCGCGCCCAGGCGAGTTGGGGCGCCTCGGGCTGAGCACGCAGCCAGCTCCGGGCAGCGCAGGGCACGCGGCACCCCGGGCGCTCGCCGGCTCGCCGGGTCGAGCTGGCAGCCGGACGTTCCGGGAAGTTGGTCTGCGGGCGCTAGACACGGGGGAGACCAACTGCGGGGTGCTGAAGTTGTGCGCCCGGGGCGCGAGGACGCGTCCTGTGCCCGGCCCAGCGGGACGCGGGCGCCTTCACGCGCGTGGACCCCCGGAAGCGCCCTTCTGGCCGGCTTTGTGCTGGAGCCGAGGCCGGTCCGCCGCCCGCCCGCCAGGGCCGGGGGAAAGGGGCGAGCGTGGAGCTCGGGCGGGAGGGGGAGCCGCGTGCATCTCGGCGGGAGCCGGCCTCCACGCAGGGACGTGGCCCACAAAGAGCCGGCGGTCCCCAGAAAGTGGCTCCCCCGCCCCAGCCGCGGTCCGCTAGCCCGCCTTCCCCGAGGGGGGCGCTTTGTTCTCGGCCCCTGTAACCCTTTCCCGGGATCCGCCTGCCGCGTCGGCCGGGCCTGGGCCGCCGCCAGGTGTCAGCGCCGCCCGCCGGGTGCGCGCTCCCCAGCCCCGAGTGGGGTGCGGGTCCCGGGGGTCCCGCGGGCGGGGCGCTCGGGCCACCCCGGGGAGGCGGAGGGGGTGCGGAGCGGGGCCCTTCCCTCCCGGAAGTGGCGGTCTCTCCTGCACATCTGGACGGCCTGGCCCGCTGCGGTGGCAGCAGGCGGCGGCGCGCGGTCTGCGCTTCTGATGGGGCGTCCCTGCGCGCCGCTGCCCTCTGCGAGCGTTCCCGCCGGCCGTGGAAGCTGGCGCTTCCCGAGAGCTCTGGAGTTCAGGCTCCTTTTCCAGGCGGCACTGTCGCACCCCAGGTAACTTGTTCTCAAGTTCCAAGAGGAGTCCCGCTTTGCTCACGAATTGAAACGTGTGGGCTGCTGTAAATGGAGGAGCCTGGGCAGTGCTCGGGTTCCTGCGCTGTCTTCAGCTCACTCGTGGCTTTCAGGTCCAAGGTCTTGATCTGGAGGGTTGTGGCTTCCTTGGGACTCAGGTGACGCCTCCAATCCCACTTCCCTTTCTGGAGGAGAGACTTGCCTGGCATTGCCTCCTGCTCCACTCTTCAGCCCTAAAATGGGGCTGCCCTGGGGCTCCGGAGCTGGGGTACAGCACTTGCTTCTAGCCTTGGGAAGAGTAGACATTGCTGGGAACCCAGGTCTCTGGGGCCACTAATGCGAGCCAACCCACCGCAGCCTCTCCCAGTTTCTATGGTTCCCCGGGTTTCTTCTGCTGGGCAGGAGCAGATGCTGCAGGAGGACACATTGTTTCTGCTTTGACACCATAGTGGGGGGAGGTTGGGGAGTCCAGAGCTGGGAGTCCTGGAGGTGGAGTGGCCAAGCTCCAGACACTGCCTGAGCTCAGGCCAACCCCAGTGTGGAGCTTAGGTGGGGGTTTTTTGCTCTATTTTATTTGGTAAAGTTTTGTTTGTCTTTTTCTCACTCAGCCTTGCTCCCTAGTGAGTGTCTGCATTTGGTTAAAAGTGGGTGCATGACAAGGCATAAAGCACCTCCCCAAGGGCCCCTGTCCTCTTTCCTAAGAGAAGCAGGGCACTGGGACTTGCAGGACATGGGCGAAGGTGTCTGCAGGTAACCAAGGTCCAGCCCTCCCAAGGCGGATTTTGGTTCCCTTGGGAAGCAGGTGGCAACCCTCCTGGGACCAGTGAAGCAAGGTGTGCCTGGCTCTGAATGGACCAGGGAACCTGCCTGGGACAGGAGCTTGCTCCAGTCTGCTCCCCGGAGACTGAGACAAACAGGTTTGTCTGAAAAGTCTCTCCATTTCCCCGAGGCCTTTTGTTTCCACCTAGTCAGAAAATTTGTCTGTCCTGGAATTTGCTGTTTTTTCTCTCTTCTCCTGCTTGAGAGGCCTAAAATCCCGTCTCCCTTAATTATGCAGACTAGTAGAGACGGTTCCCTCCGCGGGAGGGGCCGCCACTGCCTCGCCTGCCAGCCCAGCTCAGCCTTCCAGAGGTGAGGTCACCGCTGGCTCAGCTGGGCTCCCCGGAGGGAGGGCGAGGGTGTGAGCCTTCCTACCTGTGACTCTCATGGTTCCTCCAGCAGAACCTCATGAATGCACCTGGGCGTGGAGGAGAGGGGACCAAGAAGCCCGAGGAACACTTGGTTTTTGCAGCCTTTTCTTTGTGGCAGAGTTTTGGATTCCTGAAATCTCTTAAGAATGAGGTGTCCTCGATATTCAGGCTTTTTCCGTGCGTTAAGAACCCGCAGTAACTTGTAAAGCATTCTATGTGGGCAGAGCCCGGAGACACTTATTTCCTTTCCTTCCTTTATCAACAGCGACAAGGTGCCAGACGTGATTTAGTCTCTGGGTGCCAAGGCCCCTGTTGCTCCATGTGAGTTCTGATCTGTGATTCTCCTTATCCACCTCAGTCTGATTTCCCGAAGTGACACTGTGCTCCAATTTGTTACTCTTCTCCAGCAGTACTGAGACACTAATTGTTGGGGTGCATGTATTTCTAAAACAAGAACTGTAGACTGTGTCCAGCTCTTGCTCTGGCTGTGTGTTCTTTTCGATGTGTGGATCTGGTCTTTCCTGGGCCTCAGCTTGAACCTTTGTGAGGTGCTAAGGGGGAATGGACAGAGAGATTTGCTGTCATCCCCTTCAGGGACAGGATATGCAAGGCCGCCCCACTCTGCACCCTGATGAGCAGCATCCTTCGTTCTTTTTTTTTTTTTTTTTTTTTTTTTTTTTTGGCTTTTTCGTTTTTATCGGTACCGGGGATCGAACTCACGACTGCCTGCTTTCAAGGCAGGTGCTTATGCCGCTGAGCTAAACCTCCAGCCCCTGCATCCTTCGTTCTTAACCTCTGGCCGTGTGACCTCTGGCTTTGGTCCGGCCTCGACTCCTCACCATGTTTTATTTGAGTTTTAGTTCACGGTTTGCCATGATCTGCACCCACGCCTTTGGCAAAGCAGAAACGGCTGTGGATCAGTAGAGCCCCAGGACTGTGTTTCAACTCTGCCACTAGTTTACTGCGTAATCTCAAGTGAGTCACCTTAGTTTCAAGTCTGTTGTCCTCTGCGGAACAGAGGGCCTGGACCTGTTCTCCCTGCTCCCTGTCGTTCGCTGTCCATTTCCTAATGGACGTGTGAAAGTGCTGTGTGATGAAAGAACCGAGGACAGCTAACTGTTGAGACAATTAAGATTAGCTTTTATGGAGCGCCTGGTATCACATGCCGGGCTCTTGCCGTGCGTCCTCATTTAGTGTTTACTCGAAACCATCCTTGCCCTGCTGTTTTGGCTGAGGAAGAAAAAGCGTACAGAGCTAACCCTAAGGGGCAGCAGCAGCAGCAGAACCAGAGCCGGGTGTGACGCGGGCATGGCTGTGTGTGACACGTCATGTCGCACCTGCTCTGAGAAGCCAGCACGGGGGCTGGCTGCATCCTTTGAGGCTGTGGCCGGTATTCGGGGCTCTGCCTGGCCCCTGGGGGTGAGCATTTGGGGATGTGAAGGCTGGGCACGGTGCCTTTAGGCAAATCCTCATCCTTGGCCAATGCCTAGGCATCAGAAGTCTGTCCCAAGTAACCTCCTGGGCACTGGTCTTGTGCCTGTCCCACAATGCCCAGGACCCACCGTCTTTTTCTCCGTGGGCCCTGGGGAAACCTTGTGGGACTGGTAGCCTTTGTAAGCTTGGGCGGTAGCCATCGCGGCACAAGTAGGACAGTGACACCCAGGATTCCTGGCTGCTGCCAGCACTCCTGCTCCCCTGCAGGGCCAGGTCCCCCTACAGGGGTGGCCAGTGGACCTGGTCATTAGATAATTTCCTAGTCCCTGAGCAAACTGAATTTTGGTTGCTCCCCAACCAGCCTATCTTGCCTCAGTCTACCTAGAAGAAAGCATGGAATCAAAGTGGGAGGGTCTATGGAAAGGGAGATTTTTTTAATTTATGTTTTGAGCTAGGATCATGACATAGGGTTCAGGCTGGTTTTAAACTCATTATGTAGCCCAGGTCGGCCTCAAACTCGTGGTGATCCTCCTGCCTCAGCCTTCTGAGTGCTGGGATTTTAGGCGTGTGCCACAGGACACGGTAGAAAGAGGAGTTTTGATGCCAGGAGTCAGTGCAGTGTTCTTTCCCTGTTTTCCAGGAGGGGTGGGGGTGGGGTAGGGTGCACTGTGGAACCGTCACTGAGTGATGTGTGTCCTGCCACATGTCATGGGAGGGAATGGAGGGAGGCTTGGGATGCAGGCCATCGAGACAGAGCCATGGAGGGAGACCCTGCAGTTTCTGGCTCTGGGTGGGCATTGGAAGGCCCTGCTCATGTTCAGAAGGCCACCCCGAAGCCTATGCCCAGGTGTCAGTCAGCCAGTGCGAGGAGGCCCCAGCACCTCCAGGACCAGCACAGGCGCCCCAGGTCAGCCCTATGTGGTCACAGCTGGGGAATCCCATGGAGGCCAGGGCGGTGGGGCCTGGTGTCTGAGGAGCTGGGCGGTCTGCTGGCCTCCAAGATGAGCAGGACCTGGAAGCGTGCGGTGAGAGCTGGGGACACGGAGGCAGGAGAGGGAAAGGGGTGTCACCAGCTCCTTCAC